ACTATAAGAAAGGCCAAGTTAATCCCCCTCAAATAGAAATAATTATTCCAAGAAAGATCATTACCCAGGATCATTCATCAGAAACTTTATATTAACAGATAATCAAAAATCATTTTTAAAATGCTTTACTGACTCAGGAACTTCCGCTTCCAGGGATTTTTCCATTGGTATATTAATATATACATACAAAGACTTATGGTTAATGCTATGCATCTTTTATACTGTCCCCAAAAAGTAAATCAATATGTACATTAATACGGAAAAAATTTGTCATATTATGATACACACACACAATGGAATAGTATGCAGCCTTTAAAAAGCATGAGGCCAATTTTTGAGGGTTTTTTATAGATACACGCACACGTTTAACATACACATACACGATGATATGTAAATATATTTTTCTGTGAAAAAGCAACATATCAAAAATCATGTATTGTACCCATATGTAGTAAGAGAGTGGGAAAAGCGCATTATTATATATAAAGAGATAAGCTTGCATATGTAGAAAAAATATATATGTATTTCTTTATTCATGATAAGAGTGCTTGCACACACATGTGAGAGAGAGAGGGAGGGAGGGAGGAGAGGCCTCCACAGGGTCTGGTCACGTGGTGATCTCTTTCCCCTAATCCTCCAGCCTGTCAGAATCTTGGGCACTCGAGTGTGTGACTGGCGCGTTTCAGGCTGACTGCGCCAGATCTGACCCACATTTGCCATGTGGGATCCAGCTTCTCTTGAATAGCGTATTAAAGCTGTGTCACAGAACAAGCCCTAAGGACAACTCTTAACGGTGACTGCTTCTTGGAAAGGAGCATATGAGTACAGCATAGAAGGGAAATTGATGCATGCTTCTTTATATTATTTTAATTTCTAAAGCCTGTTTCTAGTGCTTTTATTACTTTTTTGTTTGAAAAATGACTGTTTTAAATATTAACACAAAATTGCTTTAACAAAGGCTCTTCCTAAATTGGCAGTTTCTAAGGACCTGCAAAATGTATTTTCTAAAGTGGTTTTAAACTTTACTCTTCAATCACATCTCATAATTATGCTGTAAATCCTTCTCTAGAAATGGTAAAAATATATATACATAACAAGTAAAATCTAGTCAATTCACTTAAGTATTTCATAGTTAAAAAATAATAAGCTCAATGAGTAATTTTATTTTGTAAGCAACCCTTTTTTAGCATTAGGGATTTTTCATCTAACATTGTAACATCAGTAAGAGACAGTTTACTTACTTAATTTGGGGGGAAGGGATAACTATGATTTACCATGCTAAATATACTTTTGACACGTGAAGGATTTAAAAGCATAAATCTAGCTTCACCAGATTAAGGAACTGAATGGTAACTCAGCAGTCATCCCATTTAATTCCTCAGATGAGGCAACTAAGCCTGGATATGAAGAGAGTTGCTCAAAGTGAGAGTAGGACAAGACCAGAGCGGACCTCTGGCTTGAGCTCCATTATTTTATTCTAACAAGCTTCATGTGTTAGAAATAATACAACATTAGCTAAGGCAAAGGCAGGACTTCTGGACTTGAGTCTTCAAAAGGTGAAAGAACAGAAAAACTCTGACTGCAAGCAGGTAACTGGCCACGAAGGTATGGAACAGCAGAGAAGTGAGAAACTGAACCTGCCTAGCCCAATACCAGACAACTCTAATTCTGAATAAGTGAAGAACAGTAAGGATAATGTTGAATCGATTATTACTTTTGAAAATGCCTTATGGTGGGGAGCAATATTGTTTTATCAAAAAGAAACACTTAAGTACCTATGTGAGGGCAACTCTAGGGCAATTCATAAGAAAATTTATCAAGAAATTAGTCTATTTAAACTTTCTTTCACGGTCCTATGATATTGAGTTATTTGATACTCAGTATCTTTGGAAATTACTGCAATGGGAAAGAAAGTCTTAATATTGGGTTGTTGGAGAAGTAATGATGTATTTTTTCATCGCAAAAGTGTGTCTTGACTTTTCTAACAAGCCAACATTTTTTTAAATGTTTTTCTGACAAAGTAATTCACTCTATGGCAATTCAATGTTAAAAACAGAGTTGGGGGGGTGGGGGCAGGAGGTGGCATGATGGTTAAGGCACTGGACCACATAGATGTCTACACAGTTTAAGTCCTGAATTCAGCAGCCTGAAAATCACACTGGGCACGTGTACATGGATGCCCCAAATCCCAAGAGGAGAATGGACTAGAAGGGCAAGTGGAGTGGCCATCCCCCCGGGGGGTGATTTCTCACTTTCACTCCCTCTCTGTCTCTCTCTGATGAGCAAACGCATGTCCTATGGCAAAAACCTAAAAAAAAAAAAAAAGTTGGATTTTTTTATGTGCTAAATATGTACCTCATAATTTACTGTAGTCTTTTTAATAATTATGTATATGTCACTACATTTATGATCTTTTGCATAAAGCTTAGGAAATAATTTCCCATTTAAAGATTATGGATTCTTATGATAGTTACAATGTCAAGACATTTGCTTTATGACTTACTGCTGGTCATAGCTATGATTAATCTGCTACTTCTTCCCTGGTCAGAAATACAACCCCAACTATCTGGTCTTTCTAATTTTTTTTTTTCGGTTAAATCCTCATTAATAAGTGTTGGTACCTTTACCTTCAGCCCCTACTTAAGGCCAGTCCCAGGCCCATTGAAAGTCACTAGACTTGATCCAAATATAATGTCAATTACAGCAGAAATGAAGCAATGTAGGTCTCCCAAACAAACTTTGAGGTACAGGGATTTTTAAACCCAACACTGCTAAAACTTGGGAGTAAACTTCTAATATCAAGCCATTCTTCTGTGTGAATAAAACTTTCTTAACCCCAATAATTCTTACCAAAAAAAGAATAAGCTTTAAATTTAAAAATAAAAATCCAAAAGTAATTTTCTAATCCAGAAAGTATTAAAACCAATTTTATTAGTCCAAAGAAAATAAAATATTTAGGCTTAAGTCTAACAAAATGTACAAAGATCTGTATCCTGAAAACTGCAAAATGAAGATGAAAGAAATCAAAGATGACCTAAATAAATGAAGAGACATACTGTATTCAAGAACTGGAAGATTCAACATAATAAAGATGTCAATTCTCCACAAATTGATCTATATTTAATGCAGTTCTTATCAAAATCCTAGGAAGGTGTTTGCAGGCATAGACAAGCTTATTTTTAAATTTAAATGGAAATGTAAAGGAGCTAGAGTAGCTAAAATTTTAAAAACAAAGCATAATATGAGAGGAATCGCTCTAGGACATGAGAGGACTCACTCTATCTGATGTTAGGACTTACTAAAGAACTTGTAATCAAGACAGTGTGATGACTACAGAGGGAAAGACACATGAATAAATACAACAGAGAATCCAGAAATAAACCCATGGAATATGCCCAACTGGTTTCTGAAAAAGGTGCCATACAAGTCAATGGGTAAATAAAAGACCTTTCAATAACTGGGCACCTACAGGCAAAAAAATAAAAACAAACAAACAAAAACACTTCCACCTACACTCTAAACCAAAATTAACCCCAAATCAATGGACTTAAATGTAAAACATAAAAACGATAAAATATTAAAAACTGTATACCTTAAATATACACCATTTTTACTTGTCAACAATAACTCACTAAGCCTGGAAGAAAACAACTTTTAAAAAAGCATAGGAGAACATTTTCAGGACAACAGGCAAAAAGGGCAATAGGAACAGGCGAAGAGAATAGACTAGACACTTTTCCTGGCTACTGATAAATACACTGTATTTCAGAAGCCACTATCCCTGAGCATTGGCATTGGTATATGGGGTAAGACATATCATACAAAATACTATAACATGCTGTGTATTAAAAATACCTAGTTAACATGCATGACTTTTCCAATGACCCAATATTTCATTATAGTTCTGAGCTTCCTTTGCTCAGGAAGCTCTCAGACCAGGCATTAATTCCACCTTTTCACCTTTTTTCTCCTATCTTTGGTCTCCAAACTGCTTATCAACTCTAAGCAACAGAACCTGACTCAGGGCTTCTGTGTAAGAGGTACATGGCAGATGGCATCTCACAGAAGATCCCGTGTAAGTGTCCTGGGATAGGACTCTCTCCATTCAAGGGGGAAGTTGGTTTTTGGGTTTTTTTTTTTTTTTTGAGAGGTTTTGGTGATAGGGCGCCTGCACTCGCCAGACAGACAGAGACAGACAGAGAGACAGAAAGTGAGAAATCCCCCCCCAGGGGGGATGGCCACGCTGCAATCCCTTCTCCTCCATTCTCCTCTCGGGATCTTAGGCACGCATGCACATGCGCCCGGCGTGAGTTTTAAGCCACCAGGTCCAGGACACAAACCGTGGTCGACTACATGGGAGTCCAGCGACAGCCATTACGCTAACTGCTGATCCCCTAGGGGTTAGTATTTTTTTAAAATATGCTCTATTCTCAAATTAGTTATTCAATATTCTCCTCCACTCCCTGTATCAGCTTTTATTTTGGGACGAAGGAATACACTTCACCCCAAAAGATGTAGTACATTTAGTCTTTCACAAATATGCAAATAGAGAAAACATTGCTCATATGACATTTCTTACACACTAGCCCCAAGAGGTCAGTTTTATATCCTACAGCTATTATATTGGGTTGTCAGAAAAGTCTTGATGTATTTTTTTAAATGCAAAAATGCGTCATGACTTTTCCGACAACCCAATAGTATCATTTTCAATTTCAGAGAAACAATCAGTTAACTAAATAGAGTTCTTCCTTGAGGTGACTATAACATTCATGCAAGATAAACATTCATCCATCATCATCTGGCTCATTAATATATAGTCTTCCACATGTTGCTCTAAAATATACAATCTTAAATTTTCCATAATGTCTTACTCAGAAAAATAACATTAGCAATAGTGTCATTTCCAAGCCAATGCCAACCTGCAATAAGCAATGTAAACGTAACACATTAAATGCATATACTACCCAAGAGGGTACAATCAGAAGCTATAGAAATTTTACCTTAATTCTTCTCTCGGTGTCATCTAACTTTAACTCTGCTGAAACTAATTTCTTGGCCAAATCATCTCGTTCAGGTAGGTGTCTAGCTTCAGAGATCTTTTTCAGTTTCTGTAAGGAAAATTTTGTCCTATATAGTTCACCTTCTGTATCTTTCACCCTTTTCTCAGTTGCCCGTTCTTTCTCTTGAGATTTTCTTAAGCGTTCTTTGAGTGCTGTAATTTCATTGTTATGACGAACTATAAGTTGTGAGATTTCATTTTCTGTGTCCTCAAACTTATTCAGGGCTTTCTCCTGTCTGTACTGAAGTCTTTTCAAAGTCTTATTTTCTTTTAGCAGCTCAGTTAACTTGACCTGGAGCTCAGATACTTCATTCTGCAACTCATTGATTTTTAGCAGTCTTGCAGAGAGAACCCGTTTTGTAACAAGATCAGTATCTTTACGAAGTGGCTCTCTATTGAGGCTCTGGGAGCGAAATCCCACTCGGCCTCCCTTTCTGTTCGGTAGACCCTTAGGGCTTGGTTTCCTAGAGGCTAGAAAAAAAACAGTAATCACATAAAATGAAAGCTGTCCCAAATGTAGCATTATTTATTCACCCTAACACAAGTAGATCTATTACATTCTATGGTAATTTTTGTCCAGAAAAAAAGATTTTGTAATATTTAGTTAAATATTAGGTTTTATTTAAAGCTCTTAACATGTTTTTACTGATATTAAAAAAGGCTTAGAATCTCTCAAGAAAGGTCAAGAATATTCTAATCCATCAAGAGTGATATCCCAATATTATATATGGAATGATTCTACATTGCTTTAAAATGTGCCAATAACAGGCTTTAAACATTTTAAACTCTACAGATAAAAGGTAGCAAGGCAGAATTTAAACACGGGCGTCATCAGCAGTAGCGCGGTGTATGACAAACAAGAAATGGACAAAATGTGATATTAAAGTCATTTGTGCCAACATACTTGGGATTCTAACTTGAAATGTAAAAATGTATGTTTTCTCTAAATTAATTTACAAATCTTTCTTTATTTGGGGAAATAGAATGACAGTATATTGTACAATGAGAAGATCTGGATTTAGGACTCAGATGTGTCACTTAATAATTTTTTGAGTAATTATTCCAATTCAATTTTCCTGAGCCACTGGATGAGAAAATATCACCTACAATAAGGTTGTTGTAGAGTATAATTAAAAATGTATGTAAAACAGAAAGTTCTATGTATTCTCTCATACGAATTTACATCCTGGAGGGCCAACAGGTGGCACAGTGGTTAAGGAGCTAGATATAGCCAACCGTGGTTCAAGTCTCTGACCCAGCAGGTTAAAACTCACACTGGGTGTTTGTGCATGCATATCAAAAATCCCAAGAGAAGACTGGAGGAGCCATGGCCACCCTCCCTGGGGAGTGATCTCTCACTTTCTTTCCCTCTAGGTCTGTCTCTCTGTGTTTCTAGTGAGTACACACACCCTGTAGCAAAAATCTCTTAAAAAATAATAATAAACAGAATTTATATTCCCTTTATCACTAATTGAAAATGTAGAAGAGCAGTACAATAGTGTTTCAAATTCTTTCTCAGGAGATTTCTTTTAATGTGATGTTCTAGTTTAAAACACCTAACATTATTTTAGAAAAAGAAAATAATCACTTTATACATATAAGATCTTCAAAATTTATATATTAAATCACAGCATTTCTGGATAATCTGGGTGTATTTTCACTAAAAGCTCACTAAACTTCAAACTCAACATACAGAATACTATCCTTTGAAAGACATCTAGAAGTTTGTCACAGTTAAGAATAATGAACTTTAATCTCCAAGGTGACTGCATTTTTTTCAAGGAGGAAATGCATTCCTGAATTTAAAAACAAAAATGAAGAAAAACCAGAAGATCCAACTTTTTCTCCCTATCTTGCCAACCATGGTTACCGGATTTCACTTGGTAAACAAGTAATGATTAACAAGTACTTTTTATAATTTAACATAAATTCTCATTAAAAAGATGGAAGATTTTACAGAATTCGTTTAGAATGTCTACTGATTTGGGTTTCCAGCTCTGTAGATGTTTGAATAAATGAAAGAGGTAACACAAAGAATTCAGGGAAGATCTAGTTGCCACTTTGAAACTATACTATCCACTGTGGTTGCCACTAGAAAACACGTGGAGATTCCAAATGGAAACGTGGGTAGTCCGAACAGGTGTAACAGTGAAATACACACTGGATTTTGAGCGTTTAGTTTCAAACAAAAAGGCATGCAAAATATTTCACATTTTGTACTGACTATATGTAGAAGTGATAATAGTTTGAATATGTTGGATTATACAAACTATATTACTAAAATTAATTTCACCTGTTTTTCTTTTTTAATGTGCTTACTAGAAAATATAAAATTACAAGTGTGGCTTACATTTGCGACTAACATTATATTTCCACTGGACAGCATTGATTTACAATGTCATTTTAAATTTGGAAAACCCATTTCAATTTTTTTTCTTTCCCACAATTCTGAATTAATAGTTTGGTATATATAAGCTATTATAGAATATATATACTCAGCTTTTGCAACAACAGCAACTTTATACATACAGATGACTTAGATGATGATGAATGACATTTTTCCAAATCTCTGCTATTAATGTATAAAATAATACTGCTTAGAAAACAAGATTTCATATAAATAATAACTTGTGTTGTTTGAAAGCTTCAAGTCTAAATGATATATGCAAATAAAAATAAAAAATTTTCAGTAATATAAAAGGGTTTCCACGACCAACTGTTTGACATTCTAAAAATCGAAACATTTACTTTTATTGTATTCTACTGGTATGACTATAAATTGATCATAAATCTAAACTCAAACATACTTTCCAGTTTTCATTTTTAAAAGTATCAAGTTGAAATATAATGCTAACAAGAATGAGAAAAAGAAAAATAACTGGCTGTCATGTATGCCATTCTTTATCTCACCTTTGTTAAATTACCACCAAAAAGTAGGCAGAAAAATATTATTTTCCTCCCTGTAGGTGTTAAAAATATAGAGCCACCTGTGGCCTAGTGGCTAAGGCAAATGGATTCCACATGGTCAATTGAGCAGTTCAAATCCTGGACCCAGCGGTTTGAAAAACATGCCAGGTACATGGGCATGTGTGCCCCAAATCCCAAGAAATTGGAGAAGGAAATATCATATGGTTATTCCCCCTAAGGGGTAATGCTCACTCCCTCCATTCTCTCTCTCTCTCTCTCTCTCTCTCTCTCTCTCTCTCAATCTCCAGTGAGCACACATGCTCTACAGCAAAAAAATAAAAAAATAAAAAAAATTTTAAAAAGGAAGGAAAAGGAAGAATTGGCTATCAAATTGCAAATCTACAAATTCAAATGTTCACAGTGCTGTTTTAATCATATTTGTGTTTTCCTTAGTTTAGTCTACATTCGTGAGTACAATTTAAACCAAGAAAAATTAACTTAATGTTTAAGAAAAGGTATCAGTTCGGACCTGTTGCCTGTCAAAAGCAGACAAATTACCACAGATTTTCATACAAAAGTGTGCAGCTCAGAGAACAGTAAAACTCAAACTAAAGACTATAACTGAAATAGTATACTGAAACTTTTTTCATAGCATTTTCCTCAGTTATCTTCAAAATAAGGTAAGGCTTACAAAATTCTGACTCCTTAACTTAGTGGCCTCTCAAGTTCCTTCTGAAGAAAAAGAAAAATTTGTAGACCTATCATTGAGACCCTGTGATGTGCATTATTTCTTGGAGATGACAGGTTATTTTCTAACATTCAGGCCTAAAATCTGCTTATTTGTTCTTCATTATATATCTGATCATGCTCTCTACTACAAGATTATGACCATAGTCCCTAAATGAGATAGAGCTGCAGAATCAAAAAGAAAAGGGGGGGGAAAACCCACAAAACTACACTCCCAAAAAGGAAAAGAAGAGGCACCCAATTGTCCAAAGTATAGACAGACATCTCTAAGAAGTTAGACTGGGGGACCATGAAAGAGTTACTTTCAAAATAAATATATATTCTTTATAGTTTTTCATGACCAAATATTACTTTTCAAGGTAAATAATGATAAAGGCAAATTTATTTATCCCCTTGTTTAAATTTGCTCAATGCCTAGCTAGCCCCCACAAAAAAAAAAAAAAAAGACGGGCAATTTATTAGCATGAGATATGAAATCTTCATGATGTGGTCCATTTTCCTTTTGAATCCCAATTTCACCCCTACCTGCCTTGCAATCTAAATTCTCACTATTCTAAGCTACTGCTGTTATAACTGTGCTGCACTTATTAATGTATAAGGTAACTACTTCATTTGCCTTAGTTTATTTTTCTATGCTGTATTTGCAGTCCTTACATAGTTTATTATTAAATACATTGGGCTTTCTGGGCCAGAGATTTATTGCGATGAAGAGGTTTGCAGAATATTTCATACTTAAATATGTATTAATATTTATTGGGTCACTGGGAAAGTCACGGCACATTTTTGCATAGAAAAATACGTCATGACTTCTTGATGACCTAATAGTTCCAGAATAGTTACATTTTAGGACAAAAATTATTTCTAAGGATTAATCTTGTTTCCATCATAACACAAATGAGATGTTGATCCAGGTCCAAAATTCCATTCCTAGGTTTAATCTGAAGTTTTGCAATAAACACTACATCTCCTAGGTAAGCAATTGTACTCAATTTATAAAAATGCCCTTTACTTTATGTCAATGTCTCTCACTACTTTTTTTAAAGAACTTTTTTATAGAATTTTTTTGTTTAATTTTATTCATTGTCATTATTTAATTTATTTTTTATTTTTTTGAACTTGACCAGAGAGATAGAGAGAGTGAGAAAGCAAGCTGCCATGTCCAGGACTTGAACCATGGTCAGCTATGAAGGAGTCCAGCCACTTTATCACCACACCACCTGCCAGCCCCAACCTTTCACTACTTTTTAAAAAATAACGATACAGAAAGGTACAAACATTTTGTCATTTTTCTTTTTTAGTTTCACTATAGGGTACATATCCTCATCAAAGAGAGAAGGAAAGTGAGAAAGCACCCAAATACCCCACCAGGAGGGATTGCCACACTGCAATCACCTCTCCATTTTCCTCTTGGGATTTTGGGTATGTACACACACACAAGCTCACACACACACACGTACACACGCACACATTGTGTTTTTAAGCCCCATGGTCCAGACTTCAATGGCGATGTTGGCCACTCAGCCTCCTTAACCACCACACCACCAGCTGCCCGGACTTTTTTTTTTTTTTTTTTTTTGCCTTATAGTACCCTCAGAAACCCAAAGACAAGCATTTATTTAGGGAGGAAAAAAATGAGAAGCATTAACTATGATACCTTCTGAATATTTTATGACTCAGAACACAACAAATGGTAATACATAGTACCATAAGCGACATTTATATAAATGTATAAAAATATATCCTATTCAAAATGTAAATCAGTCCCTTTCCATGTATGTAACAATACACATATTAATGGAGGATTTTCATTCATACAAGTTTTCCTTAAGTACTCAAAATGAATCATCTAGGTATTATTTAATTTTATTCATCATTATTAATACTATTTTAATTTTACCCGAGAGAGACAGAGATAGAGAGAGAGAGGCAAAGTGAAAAAGCAAGTTGTTAGGTCCAGGACTCAAATCATGGTCAGCCGTGTGGGAGTCCAACGCCCTTAACCACCATGCCACTTGCCAGCCCCTCACCTAGGTTTGTTTAACTCTTAAAGAATACTTACCTTGGTGATACACCTGGCTATCTGAAATGTGTCTTTTAGGATTTTTTTCTTTAACAGTTGTAGATGAAGGACTGACTGGCGATGAGTGGCCAGAAGACTGTGGTGAAGTTCCAAAATCAGATGAATAGTAAGAATAATGGGGTTTGTCTGCCTTCCTTTCTTGATCAGTATCTGGACTTTTTGCTCTTTCTCCCATTGCTTTGAAAATCGGTCTCTATTCACGTAATTTTACAGATTCTTTTCTGCAGAAGAGTCCATGACAACACTGAGAAGCAATTTTCGTAGTCTTCAGATTCTGGTGATAATATTAACTTCTGCGCGATCTGTTTTTTCCACCATACTCAGTCCACAATTCACGTTAGCAACCAGACATATACATTTTTGCCCTGCAATTCAGAAAGGAGAAAGGAGATTCATCATGGAAAAATACATAACAAAACCCCTAAAAGACAATATATATGACAGATACATAAAACTATTTTATTTCAGATACCATTTTTAAAGCCATAATATTATCAAAGACTTTTCAAAACAGTAACACTAAATGCTGCCAGAACTACTACAGGAGAAGATCCACAGACTTTTGGGGTGGTGGTGGTGGAGGGAAGGGACCAGACGACTGCACAGTGATAAAAATGCAATGTTCTGTGGGCTGATTGCACATGGGAAGGTTCCCAGTTCAAGTCCATGCTTGCCTATGATATGGGGCTGGTTAAAGGCTGGGGGTGGATCACAATCACTCATGGAAGAAACAAACTTTTAAAAAGTGAGTAAGATTTGTATTAAGAATTTAATTATGGGGGCCAGTAGGTGATGTGGTAGTTCAGGTGTGGCGTGGCCATTCCCCCAGGAGATGATTTCTCACCTTCCCTCTCTGTCTCCCTCTGGCAAGTGCACGCACCCTTCGAAACCGAAAACAAAAACTTAAACAAAAGCAAACCAAAAAAAAAAAAAAATATGACTAAAATTGTGTTTTT